TCTCTACTCATATCTCATAATACATACATACATACCACATCTACTTAATATATACTTTATATATTAAATTATTAAATATACTTTATAAACTATTAGTATATACTTAATACATAATAATATCTACTTCTCTATTTATATTTCATATATACTTATTTTCTTATTCTCCAATCTCCAATTCTCCATTATACTCTAATATTTAATTCTTATACAACTATTATATCCACTTAATACATACATTCTACATCTACTTAATATATAGTTTATATATTGAAGTATAAAATATAAGTGTATTACTCATCTTATAGTAGTGTACTTATATATTATATACTATAAACATTATATTATATATTAGTTACACTTTAATTATTATCACTTAAAATAATTCTATTACCCATTTACTCTCATTAATTACTATACACATTCATACATTTGTCTTATTAGTTACATTTTTTATTAACATTACTTGATTAGTTAATTCGTATTCCCACTAATTGTTTCATTTTTCATTATACTAGTTAATTAGTTCATTATCAATCTTGTTACATTTTTCACTATACTAGTTAATTAGTTCATTAGTATTCTTGTTACATTTTTCATTATACTAGTTAATTAGTTAATTAGTATTCTTGTTACATTTTTCATTATACTAGTTAATTAGTTAATTAGTATTCTTGTTACATTTTTCATTATACTAGTTAATTAGTTAATTAGTATTCTCATTAATTGCTAAAACAACTCTACTTCAAAAAACTAGTTAATTGTCATTACAGTTAAAGTCACATTATAATAGTTTCAATTTATATTTGAACGAAAAAATAGTAGTTCAATCATTTAATTAAAGTACTTAACATTTTATTTAATTAGTTTTTACTAAGTTAAAGTACTTGAAAAGTTGCTATAATTTTAATTTTAGAGTCACACATTAATTCTAGTTTGCACTAAATTAGTTTGAAGTATTAATTAAAATAGTTTTAATTAGTTGCTTTACTTTTGTATTCATTATTATATTTGTTGCCAATTAATATTTGTTACATTTTTAAGATGGAAGGTGGTAGATATTCGGTTGATTTGGGTAACCTCGAGCGCAATCGAAGGAACGAGATTGAGAGGAAGAAATCCCGCAAAGGTAAATAACTTGCTGGCTCTTCATCTCAAAGCCGAGATGATTTTGAAACGGGTTACCAAAGGAGAGATGGAGATGCGATGTCCGAAGAACAACTACAACGCCCGACATAATAACCGCTTTCTACAACAACAACAAATCCCGACGACCATTGACGAAGAGGAGTTTGAGGATGAAGATGTGAAGGAAATGTAACCGGAGACGGCCGAGGAGGAGGGTGCCGGCAGCCACCACGCCGACAAGTCTGCCTCATCCCAAACCGCCACCGGTAATAAAAAAAGTAAAACTGAACTAATGAAAAATAATTTTGATAAGTGGAAGGACCCACAAACCGGCTATTGGCACGCAACTTGCAAGTTGTGCAACAACAATTATAGCTTGGGGACCTCCGGCGGATACGGATCCGCCGCAAGGCATCTTAAGGCAAAGCACCCCGTGGAGTATGCAAAATTAGGCGGCGGAACGGGGAAGCAAACTCAAATATCGAGGTTTGCGAATTCTCAACCTTTTGGTAATTTCTCCTAAAATGATGCACAAAATTTGACTGGTATGGCTAACTTAATTTGTGAAGAAAATTTGCCTTATATGTTTTCTGAAAATCTTGCTTTAAGAGATTATGCACAAGGTAGTTTAAATCCTCAATTTAGAAGTTATAGTCGCAAAACTGTTAAGAAAGAAATTATAAGGCTTTATAATGCGGAAAAGGCAAGGTTACAAAAATTTTTTGCAAACTTTGATGGGCGTGTTACTATTTGTTCTGACATATGGGAGGATGATTTTTATCATTTATATTATTTGGGTCTCACTGCACATTATATTGATGAGGATTGGAATATGCATAAACGTGTTCTTGCTTTTCGTGAATTTAATGATCGTCACACCGCAGAACATATTTATATTTTGATTGAGCGTATTTTAATTGAGTATAATTTGATTGATAAGGTGTTTGATATTGGTTTCGATAATGCTACTAATAATACTGCTGATATACCTAGATTGCGTGAATTGTGTGGTGCCAATACTTTGATGGGTAGATTTTTTCATCAACGCTGTGCATGCCATGTTATAAATTTATGTATGCAAGACGGTCTAAAAGCGTTAGGAGATGCTATGGAGGTAGTCAAGGGGGGGATTAGACGTATTTGGGGTAATGGTCAACTTAGTTTTTTTTTGAGGAAAGGTCAACTTAGATTAAAATGACAAACTTATTTGACTGAAAGAGGTGTGAGATATGTTGCTTTTCCTAAAGATTTGAGTATTCGTTGGAATAGTACTTATAAATTACTTAAAGTTGTTCTTAGATATAAAGAACATTTTCCTGTTTTTTTAAAACAACATGATAACTATATTATAAACTCGGCTGAGATCGACACTTGCGAAAAAATTTGTAATGTTTTGATATTTTTTTAATGCAACTGAAACTTTTAGTCATGTTTATAAACCTACCGCAAACCAATTTATTCGTGAAGCTGTTAATCTCACGGTGCTTTTAAAGAATTTGAGAATGCCGTTTTCGTGAGTTATTTTTGTGATTATAAGAAGGAAAATTTTTTAAAATATTATGCGCATATTCCCCATATTTATGGTGTTGCATTTATTATCGATCCTCGTTTTAGACTAGCTAATTTGGAAGATTGTTTCAACTTCTATTATCTTGCTTTTTTTGGTGAATTTCCAATGTATGACGATAACCCCATAGATCCGAAAATGGAATACAACGAGGTTAGCGCTTTATTTTATGCCTTATTTAATGAGTTTTGTGCACAATATAGCAACGCTCCTCCTCCCCCGACATGAACATCTTCATCTAAAGGAAAATCAATTTTTAAATCTGCATTTGGCAATCTTATGAAAAAACTAAAACAACTCACGTCACTGAACAAAGCGCATTGAATGAGATTACTTTGTATTTAACATATGAAGTTGATTGTGAAGAAAATGATGACTTTGACGTTCTAAACTGGTGGAAGTCAAAAGAAAGAACGTTCCCGATTTTAGCACGGATGACTAAGCAAGTACTATCAATGCCGGTTTCAACAGTTGCTGTGGAACAAGAATTTAATTCGGCCGGCAACGTCTTAACGGCATCTAGATCGAGATTGAGCGCGGAGTCTCTTGAGACGCTTATATGCTACCACGATTGGTTGAAGGCCGCACGTAGAACTCAAGAAATGAGCATCACCCCCTCCCAAGATTTTATGGATGACTCAACAACTGATGGTGGCTCTACCTATGTCGGAGATTCCGATTGATTAGTATTTTAGAATTTATTATAAAATGTATTTTGTAGTACTTGTCAAATTAATTTGTACTTGTACTTCATATTTCAAAATTGTAAATTTGTAGTTGTACTTCAAATTAATTTCTAAACTTGTACTTCATATTTCAAACAAATATGCGTTCATTTTTTCATATGTAGCACTTCTCAAATTAATTAATTGGTTACAAACTTACGATTTAAAATTATTTTTCTAAAATCTAAAGGCGGTTTTTAAATTAAAAATAAATTTACAATATGTAATTTGTTTAAATACTTATACACCTATTTTGTAACATTTGTAAATTATAAATCAAACCACTTTTCTAAGTACAAATAGCTTTACTTAATTCATTAAATTAATTAACTTATTTCACAATATGTATAACTTTTATAAAAAAAAATTCAATTTTAAAAAAAAAACGTCCCAAACGGCTATATAGCCGTTGGGGCTTTGGGTGGGGGGCAGGGGGGTCCCGGGGGTGGTGGTGTGGGGAGTGGGGTTCAAAAACATCTATAAATACATTTATTTTCTAACATTTTTCTACACCTCTTCTCCAACTCTTCTCCATCTTCATCTTCTCTTATTATCCTACATTCCTACTTATACATATACCATTTTAAAGATGGAAAGTACATCTTCCCTTATGCAAAACAATTTTGATAAGTGGAAGGACCCGGAGACCGGACTGTGGTGGGAGAAAGAGTGTAGCTTGAGGCGTTCACACAGATACGGGATGCCAATAAAACATATGAAGTCATGTGACAAAGGGAAAACAACAACCAACGGTGGCGGAAATCTCAACTGATATTTATTAGAAAATGTATTTTGTATTGTTATTTTTTCTCAATTCTCAAATGTAGTTCCTATTTCAAATAAATGCACTTGAACTTTGTTTTTAATAGGAATTTGTATAATCTATAATAATTTTAAAAAACATATTTTGAACCGGCCCGGCGGGTGGCCCGACCCGTGACCCGGCCCGAACCGGAACCGGCCATAGCCCGACCCGGCCCGGGTCCATCTCTACCTAGAGTATATAAACAATATGATTTCATAGTAATCGTTCACTTTTATATTGTATTTATCATGAACCATATATGATTGATTCATTCTCTAGCATGACAATCATAAAAGAGTCCATAAAATTTCTCTATAAAGGGCTAACAGAGTGCCTAATAAGCATGGCAAATGACAATTATCGATCCATTACTCCAGCTATTGTTCCTATATTTATATACTACGTGTAATTGATCGGCTACATTATTTTTTAAACATAAAAATAAGATGATTTTGAGGTGGACAAAAAGATGAAGATAAAAAAGCAAACTATTTTCTGTGTAATTTATAACAATTACAAATATACACCCGACACGGCGACACTAGACAAAAAAAAAATGAATGGCCTTGGGGGAGAAGTAATGTATCAAGATCTTGGTTCTGTTCAATTGTTCAAACACTTGGGGTTATAAGTGGTGAAATCTTTCAATGGTACAGTCTCGCAGCTTGAGACATGGGTATTACCGTATTACTCAGTCGTATTTTACATGCCTATCTTTTTTTTTTTTGAGCGGTCACAAAAAAAAGTGTTAGATTTCCTTTTTTGAAACAATATGTAATCTACATTGATTCCATTTTATTATACTCAAATCTCAACCACAACTTTTACTCTTGGAAACACTTAATAACAATTGTGTCAAATCAAATCAAAACAAGACATATAAATGAAGTGGTAGTATATATCTTTCAGTCATAAGTTATGAACATGGACTCAAAACTTCGCCCGTGATAAAGGAACCTATAGGCGTTCTAAATGGCCCAAAAATGCCAAATCAGAAGGTTACTGTCAAACAACCACATACAGTCCGCCATAAGCCCATGACAAGTTTGATGCCAGTCTCGTAATATATCTGCAGTAAAAACCGTGATTTCTAAGGTTCTTACTACGTAGTATTAATTCATGCCTCTCACCAAGCGCTATAAGTCAGCCAAAGACAGCCATGGTATCTCGGAAGAACGAGAACTTCACCTGTTGAGAATAATATGACATCCAAGATACCCTTCTATGCAATGCTGCTTTCCAACTGTGAAATTAAGACAGAAAACTAGAAAAGCATGCAAGTAGCCGTGAAACCTATCAAACCCCAGATTGGCCAAGGGAGAAAACTCTACAATGGTGTGTGCTCAACAGCTTATAACGGTGCAAGCTAAGCTGTAGAAATCATTGTGGGGGAGTTAAAGTTGAATATAGTGAACAAGTGATATACTACCTCCGACCCTTAAAACTTTGCCAAAGTTGACCGGCACGGAGAATAATAAAGTAAAAACTGTGTGGTCGAGATTTGTGCAGAGGAGAGAGAAATAACAAAAACCACAAAATAATTGATTAAAAGGGAAAGTGTCAAAGTTTTTTGGGACGTCCCTAAAAGGAAAGATGGCGAAGTTTTAAGGGACGGAGGGAGTAGTTGTTTGAAGAACATTTCACTATGAATTTGAGGCATCCTGTAGTGGCTGCACTGATTATTGAGAAGGTGACTAGATGAGATTGGCAAAACTAGAGAGAACTAATCCAGGGATAAAATGAAAACATATTGTGAAAGCTAAAGCAAGGTGAGAAATCACACTTTTGACCATGGTGTTGATGACTATGTGAAGGAAACTTTGATGACGGATTTTATTCAGAAAAGCTTAAGAAGCCATGGATGCACTCTAGCAAAATTGAAAGCATAGAACACATTGACAGTTGCCATTAATTCATTATCCTCTAACTATGTCAATTTTGTTGCACAAATATTTCGTAGTCTACACCCTCATGAACCCCTGTAATTTCAAAGTGGGAAAAAGAAGAGACAGATGCCTAAATTTGACGACAAATAAACAAATATATTAGTTAGATGCAACACTAATGCACTGAATCACAGAGACTCCAATGTGTCCCTGAGTATCTAGGTTGCAAGTTTGCAACACATACTAGATTGGTTTTTAACTGCTCATGGTTAAGCTTTTAGTACAAAGCGCAAAATATGAAAATGAAACATAAGGTTAGCCTGTCTTATAGAAATGTGTGACATTGTGAAAATTCAATAGGGCAAATCATTTATTCTATCTAGTTTGATGATGAACATGGACAATAGAAGAGTAAGAGGATACAAACATAATATATGAGCTTTTCTTGTATCAGACCTTAGAATCTTATCCCGGAGGCCACTTCATCTGTCTCCCGCCCAGTACGTGCAAGTGAAGATGGTATACAGATTGACCTGTAATAAGCAGATTAACAACACTTCATTTTGACACCATTCACGTTCTAGGAGTTACAGGAAACCATTTTAATTATTTCCCTAACAAACAAAACCACCATCAATTGAAAGGAGTGGACTCACATCCTTGAGGCCCGTCATTAATAACAACCCGAAAGCCATCCGAAATTCCTTCCTTGTCTGCTACAACTTTGGCAACATAGAGAAGATGTCCTAAGATCTCTGTGTGCCTTTCTTCAGCCTACATTTTGATAGGATGCAGCCAGTAAAGAATGAGGATTGACTTAAATGCAGGATGATGAAGTCCCAAATCACTAATAATGAGACCTGACTCTGCTTGACAACATAAATACTGTAGCATGTGTGCCTGAAGTCCTATTCTAAACTTAAGGGTTTGTTTGCTTCAAGGACTTCGCAAGGAAGGAGGGGAATGGTTGATTCATATTTTACTAACATATCTCTGTTATATAGTTTTAGATTATAAATACGAGTTAAATCATGTATTTCAGTATTTCTGTATAATTTTTTTATCTCAATTTATTTACAACCATCTATATAGAAATCATTTTAAAAATAACAATCAACCCTCCCATTCTCTCCTGTCTTATGTACGCAACCAAACAAACCCTGAATCACAAAAAAAAGGTTGAAGGTGTGAGAGTATCCCTCAGTCGTTAATACAAGTAGGGCATGTGGAGAAAGATCGATAGCAGCAAGAAGGATATTTTTATAAGCGAGGAAGTTTGGAGACTAATTCTTGAAGTCCAGTATTATTATTGACAATGACAAAGCATAATGAGAAGGCGTAGATAATATATAACACTGTTTTGAATAATGACTCATTACATCATTTTTCACGGAAACAGCCTCTTTGTGCTTTAGCACGGGGGTAAGACTGCGTACATCTGACCCCCCCTTACCCCACCGTTGGTGGGAGCCTTTGCGGCACTGGGGTAATGATAATGATGAATAATGATGACATCATTTTTCAGAAGGTGGGAAATTTTTCACAATATGCATAAGCTCAAAAATATTAGCTTGACAACCCTGGGCAAATAAGAAAAAATGACCTTTTCAAGTTGATTAAACACTGTGATAACTGCATAAACATTTCCCAAACATAAACATGCAGGCAATGGTTCCTAAGAAGTGCACCACAACAACCTTTATTCTCAAAAACAGAAGGAGGGGAAGAAAAGAGAGAAAGGATAACCTTACTGAGCCGTGATAAACCATCCCTTAACTTTGGAATAATTAGAACATGAACGGGAGCTTGTGGATTGATATCCCGAAAAGCAAGAACCTTTTCATCCTCGTACACTGTGGTTGAAGGTATCTCCTTAGCGATGATTTTATCAAAGCTGGAGAGATAATATATTAATAAAGTTATAAAAACAATTATATAATAATATAACAAAAACAAAAATAAAGATCTAATACAGTGATGATGTTGATGCAACTACGCATTACCATTAGTTCAAAGTGATTAGCCAACAGCTCTTAAATGAAGCCTCATAGACTTAAACTAAGTGAAACTCCCATCAATCTGATTCAGTAAGAGATCTAATGATTATTTTATCAAGGCGAATTAGGATAATGTCCGCGACGATAACTCTGTTTTGAGTACTCCCCTTATCCCATTTTATGTCATTTCAACAGCTCATATGGTCAACCCAACCCCTAATTCACTTAGTTTATGTAGTAATGTTTATCTTATTCCAATTCGGTTTAAGACTTCTAGTTAAACTTTTGGTGCAGTTCTTCAACAGGGAAGTTTGACTTTGCACAGCATGTGTTAATCCAACTTTTTCCTTGAAACCCATGATTTGCAACATCCGATTATGCACCCAGCCTTTTCTGTTGGGAACTGTTAAGGAAATTTGGATTCGATCAGACAAATTTAGTTCTATCATGCTTTTTTTACTTTGCCAGTTGGGATCTAAAAAAATATTCAACCACATAGTAGAAATGCCCAACAACAAGATTACACAGATCAGAGAGCAGCATATAGATGCAAAGAGTACATTGTTGGGGCTCTACTGTCGGCAGTTGCAGCAGAAAGGGAGGCAGAAGCTTCTTCATCAGTTGCAGCACTTACATAAGACCTGAACATGCAAAGTCAGGAGTCTCTGATTAAACTCCAAAGGAAAACAAGAACTAATGGTAAAAAAGTACTCAGTCCTAAAAAAATCATGGAATAGCTTTTATGGGGACATATTTCATCAAAATAAAATGAATATGCGGGCAACTTGCTAAAAAGAGTTATGGGCGAGTTAAGTACTCCCTCCGTCCCAATTTGTAAGATACATTACGGTTTAAGATGTTTGACTGACAATAAAGCAAATTGATCCCTGTCAACACTCAAATTAGTTCTAGAAAATACATTAAAACCGCTACAAAGCCTGCAAAAAATAATTCAAAATTTCATAAACTTTTGATATATAAAATAAAAGATTAAGAGTGATTTATGTTGACCAAGTGAACAGTAAATGTATCTTACAATTTGGGACTGAGGGAGTATGATAAATTTAGTCAAACTCATGACCCTTAACATTTTGACATTGTCAAACTTAAAACGTGGTAACTTGGTCTAACACTAATATTTTTTGGGGATGGAGGCAAGCACAAGAGCAAACAAATCTATGAAATGGATCTTAACAAAAAGCTCTTGGAGAAAGGAGGTAGGAAGATATACATGTTTGACATGGAAGTAATGCGGATACCTGCTTCCCACATATAGACAAAACTGCTGCCGTTCAAAGATCAAAGTTTCTTGCAGTTGGAAATTATACATGTGTATCAGTGTATTTATACACATGTATTCATACATGTGTACTTAAACATTGTATTTATACACAAGTAACACAACTGGAATGTCTATTGGTTTGTCTCCCTTCTATCCTTTTATCATTTTTAACTTCGATTTCATACGTCGATTCATGCTAGCCGACCCGAAACTCTTATATGACTTAGGCGTGGAATCGTGGATGTTGTTGTTGCTGTTGTATTTATACAATGTACTATTCAATTTTATATGGCTTATTGCCTTCAGCTATTATTGTGCTAAAGTAAGACATAAGGTGAGTAAAACTCCGCTGTTCTACTCAAGTCAAATAGCCCTTACTGAGTTAGCTAGACCTGTTAAATGTGATCAACAAATTCACCAAGTCCAAGGAGTGCTAAACCCACCATGTGCATATTACCCGTCTTTTCTAAACAAATACTCCGTAGTTTTGTGTCTTCTGCATCTTGTATCATCTTTCTTAGTTTCCTTCACTGTTACACACTAGTTCATTAACTAGTCTAAATTAACAAGCATAAGGCCTGCTTTCCCTTAAATTGCCCACAGTAGTAGCCTCCATCACCATTTTTCAACTAAAGTCCTGTCTAGTTTTACTTCCTAGTATTTTCACATTTCCACCATATAAATCTCAACATAGTGACCATTTCAAAGTTAAAACACACTTGGTTTCACCGCCAAGCTCACTGCCATAAAGACATTTAGGGAGTGTTTGCAAAAGAATAAAAAAGTGTTCTTCAGCTTTTTGCTTTAAAAAAAAGGGAAAAATAATTAAAATACCCCAAACTTTGAAGGGGTGTGAGATAAACACCTCAAACTTTCATATGTAATTTAAATACCCCAAACTTTATATAAAAAGTTATTTTAACACCATGGTCATGTATCATTTCAAAAATTTATGACGTTAATTGCATTAATTAAAATAGCAAATTGAAAACATTGCAATTTTATAGAGTTTGAGGGAGGGGGGAGGGGAGTAATACTATTTATTTTACAATAAAGTTTGGAATGCTAATTGTATCTTCATGAATGCTAAGATGTTTTAAATTATGAAATTAACACCATTTATTAACATTTTTGAAAAAAAATAATACAAGATCATGGTGCTAAAATAACTTTTTATATAAAGTTTGGGTATTTAAATTACATATGCAAGTTTGGAGTGCTTACCTCACACCCCTTCAAAGTTTGGGGTATTTTAATTATTTTTCCCTAAAAAAACTGAACTTGGTGGTTTCAAATGACAACTTCATCTTAAAATTTAAAATAAGCACTTTGAAGCTAAAGCTGGAAGCCAGTCGAGGGGTTTTAAATAGTTTTTCACCTTTTCTATTATACAAAAAGTAATTTTTTACCAAACACTACCAACTTTTACTTTTTCAAAATTGTTTTTTCTCAAACACTACAAAGTACAAACTTTTACTATTAAGTGTTTCCCCTAAAATCACTTTTTTAAAGTAGCCGTGACCGCAAACACTCCCTTAATTTATTGGCTGTATGATAGAAGTTTCTTCTCTTTATGGTCAAATATATTTAAACCTTCCAGTTTTATGCGTCAATTTCTTTTTATGAAATATGGGAGTAAAGAAACAAGTTACTGAGGTGCAAATATTAAAGCAAACTATAGTAACTTGTTTTTGTACAGCTATACTCCCATTTTTCATAACTTGTTTAAAGTTTTAGCAAATGAAATGTTTTAGTTTCTTCTCTCAGTTGTCTAACAAAACAGCTAAAGTTACTAGCTATTTGTGAGATGAGATCAAGGTTGTCACGCTTGTAGGCAAGGTGCGGCGCCTCAGCGAACTTCCAGTGTAAGTAGCTGCACTTAATATCTTAATATAATATACTATCTCCATTCCATTAAGATTGTCCCATACTTCAATTTTTCCTTTTTGATCCGTCCCATTAAGACTGTCTTATACCAAATTTGGTAATGTGTGATCCTAAATCGTTCATACTTTATTCTGAATTTATCGATTCAATACCCACCACATAAATTCACTTTTCTTGATCACTGCACCACTTCCTCTTGTACCAATGTTAAGGGGACGGAGGTAGTATTATATAATGTTAATACTTCGTACAGTATATGAATTACTAACTCATTATATTAACCCAAAACAAGAGTGTAACATTTATTTCTAGTTCATTAAACTACAATTTTCTAGCAAAAAGTAGTGATTGGTGATGTGATTGACATCTCTAAACTAAAGAAATGAAAAATATCATTAAAAGTTAAATTCAAATAAAAGAAATGAAAGTGACGAAAAATGAATGTAGAAAGAAGAAAACTAGAAAAGTGAGAAAAACAATGTAAACTTGGTGGATTGGACTCTCATGCCAAAATACATTTAGAAAATAATTAATCCTCGATGCTCTATGAATGCCTTGTTGACGTCTAACCAATGCCATCCCATCTGTGGCACTCCTCAGGCGAGGCAACCGGTCATTGCGAGGCGGTTAGTCGGAAAAAGACTTATCAAAACATGCTATGATTTACTACTGTTTAGGTATTTTCTATAAATATTATGAGCAGTAAACAGAAATATTAATTAAAACAATGTAAAAAAGGCACTGACTTTGCAAATAGTGTTTCAGGATCAAGGAGAAAAATGATGAATTATACTTGGTACTTTGGTAGTTGATAACCAAGCTGCTGATGTTTTCTATTTAAACCACATTTTATTGAGGCACTATTGCACATCATATATTACCTTAAATTTTTCCTTATTAATTGAGACTTTCAAATAAGGTGGCAGTCAATCCCCGATCCAACGGATGCTCATGAATATTAATGGATTGCTGTAAGTGGTACAAGTAGTTACACAATAAGATCATCTTTCATTTTATATGTTTTTAGTAATAGAATGCATGATTAGAGAAAAAAAGAGAAACTAAAAATCTCAAAACTTGGACCAACACAAATAGGCATAGCACCTACTGTCAGTAAATTTATTAAAACTGAACACATATAAATTGGAAGAATGGAAACCAAGAATCATGAGCAAAGATAGCAACTAAATACACAATAATCAGGAACAAGGACATGACTTCAAGCATATTCAGTTCAAAAACCAGAAACTAGACCTGCGACAGTGAAGTGTAGGATGAAAGAGTTTGGGAGACTGTGGAAGACGACCCTTTGACGACCCGACCACACCCAAAGCTCGGAACGACAGCGGACCTCTAAAAGTTCAAAAATTTGTCCCTTCAATTACAAGCTCAAATGATAGGAAGTGATAGAAAGCTAAAATGACACCAAGTATAAAAATTGATCAATCACAAGCTCAAATGATAGAAAAATACCGGAGAGGGTGAGGCGTTACCGTAAGAGGAAGAGGGAATTCGTGGTAGCCATGGAAGCTAAACACTACGGAACGAGTGACAATTGGAAGCCTGCAATAGTTCAGTTGAACTACATATATTTTGCTCAATAGGACTATTTGGTTTTAAGTCAATGCGATTGTCTTAGGCCCTGTTCCGCTGTTAGGCCTTCACCTCAAAGGGTTGAAATTTATTAAAGGAAAAAGGGGCAAATAAGTCCTCGAACTAATAAAAAAAAGTGCAAATAAGTCCTTTTGTATGAGGTTTTGTCTGATCATCGTCATTTGGGGAGGTTCTCTGTTGAATTTTTTGATGAATTTTTTTGAGCATCTTCTTCATTAAGTCTAGTTTAGCCATATCAAATTTTAGATAAAAATTCAACCGGGAAGGCACTCAAATGATTTTCGGAAATATACTGCGTTGTTTAATTGCGCAGTTATCTTCAAAAATTCATTTGAATGTCTTCCCGATTGAATTTTTAGCTGAAATTCGGTATGACTAAACTAGACTTAATGAATAAGATGTTAAAAAAAATTCATCAAAAAATTCCACCGAGAAACTCCCCAAATGAAGATGGCCGGACGGAACCTCATACAAAAGGGCTCATTTGCACTTTTTTTATTAGTTCGAGGGCTTATTTGCCCCTTTTCCCTTTATTAAATTCAGTCGTCAATTAAAATAACGAAAATGCTATGTGTACATCTAATGTACACAAGATGTACACCATATAAAAGGGCAAAACAAAATATTTTCAGATTTTTTACCCCCTCCCCCACCTCTCTCCCACACGTGCGAGCCTCTTCCCCTTTCTCCCGCCTCTCCACTCCACTCTCCACTTCCTTCCTCTTCGATTTTATTTTCCGATTTCTGCGCATACCCCCCACGCCGTTCATCCTCTTTGTCTAGCACCGCTGCCTCTGAAGCCGTCCACCTCTTGTCACCGGCGCCTCACCGTCTTCGTCTCCAAGCGCCAACCTCGAAGCCGTTTCCACCGGAAGAAAGGTGGCGCGATGGTTCGTACTTCACTGTCATCTCTTGCTAAGTCTTCAAAAAAACGGTAATATCCACTTCTTGAACATATTTGTGAGTAGTATTGTTGAATTTCACCCCCTATTGTGTGGTATGTGTTTGTTGTATTTTTTTAAAATCAATATGAGATTTCGAAGGTGAAAGTTGAAAATTAGAGTTTGATGAAGTGAGAAGCACTGTAAATGGTGGTGTGGGAACCTTAAGGGGCCGGATTGATTGTAGGAATTTGATTTTGTTTGGGAGATGGAAGTATAATGTCTGTGGGCAGACGGTTAACCTTGTTCAATTGATTTTCATGGAAGTCGTTTTATATATTTACGTGTGAGTTGAATTGTCTGTAGTTTGTGATTCACACTTAATAATTATTAATTTTTTGAAATTAATAATTGGTATTTTTGAAATTCACACTTAATTAACATTATTGATAAAATTAGAATGACAGTGCACTATATAGAGTGCACTATATAGGAGGGATTTGGGGTTGTTAAGTGACCATGTTGTAGGATTTGGAACATCTTTGGGACGTTGCATTGTGTGGTATGTACAATTAAAGTAGTAGTAACTGATTTAGTATGTACATGAACGAGTTCTTTTGTGTAATTCGTAGGAAGAAGCATGAACTGATGGTTCCGGTTGAGTCCCACTTCCCGGCGCAATATTCTTTGTGCTCATCTTTTGGGAAATATAAAAACTTGTTGGCTGCTATACCAGCGAGTGAGCAGCAAAATTTTAAGAACCTTCCGTGGGGACATTTGGCTGAAACTCCAGAACTCCAATTTTCTGGGCAGATTGTCCATATGTTGTTGTTGCGGATGGTTCAGAGACAACCTGTGGATGAGCTTTGGTTTTCTATACGAGGAAAAATCTTTAAGTTCACTTTTCAAGATTTTTGTGCTATTACTCATCTTCCGGCATACACAACCAGACCCCGTTTTGTGAAAAACAGTGACAAAGGTAGTGTGGCTAAGTTATTCTTTAAAGGACAGAAGCGTGTCACATACGAAGAACTGAAGGAAACAATGGCGGCATTAAATCCGAAGAGGAGGGTTGACTCCTTAGCAGTTGTGAAGTTGGCTTCTCTTTTTGTGGTAGATTGTATGTTGCTGGCTAGAAACCACGACACAAAGATCAATGCCAATCATCTTGACTGGGTGGAAGACTTTGAGAACTTCAAAAAATATCCTTGGGCCCTTGAATCTTATAACCTAATGGTGTCCAATATGAAGTCGTTGATGCGTGATCAACCGGAGAAGTATGAGGCTGCTGTAGCTAATAAACCGAAGTACAAGAACTGTAAGTTCACTGTTTGGGCCTTACCCCATGTCTTGCAGGTTCGTTTGTACATTGTTTGATAATTGCGTAAATCATCTGTGTGACAATCTGTTTAATCTGTGGGCAGACATCTCATTAACAATTTTTTTGGTTGTGTATTCAGGTTTGGGCGTATGAGAAAATCCCTGGGCTTGCTCCAAGATGTGGCACCAAATTCAAATCTGAAGAATCTAGTCTTTTCAACTGGAAAGCTACAGGATTTTTTCACTGTACTACTTTGAAGGAACTGGTTTTTAAGGAAGAGCCTTTAGAAGAAACCGTAAGAAGTTGTTAATTATATTTTTTAGTAATACACATGCACTAATATCACAATTTGTAATCTAATTACTTGACTTGGTCCGTAGGATGATGATGAGGATGGTGATGAAGAAGAAGAAGATGTTGGGGAAGAAGTTGATGGCGAAGAAGATGGACTAGAAGATGAGGATGTCAAACTTCTTCGCAAATTGAAGGTGTTGGAACAACTTGCAAAAACACAGTCTGAAATTGAGCAGTTGAGGACAAGTGTTAGAGGCATTGAGGCCACACTGGTTGAGGTCAAAGACATGCTATCTAAGGTGGTGGGGGTGGTTCTGCATGGGAATGTTCCCACACAAGAGCAGGTAAGATTACAAGTTTATGTGCATGCAACTGATTTTGTCTGTGAAGTGTATGTTATTGTCTGTGAACATTAATGTAGTTGTCTGTGTGCATTGATTGTTTTGTCTGTGTAGTACATCTATTTTAATGTGCTTACGAAACAGGAAGTGGCCAGCGCTAAGAAAGATAATGGAAAGCGTGATGATGTTGAAGCTAACCACTGTACTGACCATGACGTGCCAGATGTGCGCATGGAAAATATGGTATCATTGCCTTATGTGTGTAGGCACATATGTAAATGTCTGTGTACTTTGTTCTTAATGTCTGTCAGAGTATTAACAGTTACACATGTTTGTGCTTTACAGGCTGAGGAGGAGCCTAATTTGCAGCATGATTCCATTGAAGAGGGTGAGGAAAGCGAGCATGGCACTCCGGCCGTGGTAACTAAAGCGAAGGTATGATTGCCTTATTTTTGTGCACCTCACTCAATTGTCTGTGAAGTAAGCTCTAAATGTAGGTATACGCATATGTAAATGTCTGTGTACTTTGTTCTTAATGTCTGTCAAAGTATTAACAGTTACACATGTTTGTGCTTTACAGGCTGAGGAGGAGCCTAATTTGCAGCATGATTCCATTGAAGAAGGTGAGGAAAGCGAGCATGGCACTCCGGCCGTGGTAACTAAAGTGAAGGTATGATTGCCTTATTTTTGTGCACCTCACTCAATTGTCTGTGAAGTAAGCTCTAAATGTAGGTATACGCATATGTAAATGTCTGTGTACTATCTTCTTAATGTCTGTCAAAGTATTAACAGTTAGACGTATTTGTGCTTTACAGCCCGAGGAGGAGGATTTAGTCCACAGTGGAGAGCCTAATTTGCAGCATGATAAAATTGAAGAGACTGAGGAAAGAGAGCATTGTAGTCCGGTCGTGGTAACTGAAGACAAGGTATGATTGGAATTTTTGTATGCAGCTCACTTCATTTGTCTGTGATGTAAGCTGTAAATGTAAGTATACGCATATGTATATGTCAGTCAAACCAATATCAATTACAGATCTTCGTGGTTTACAGGTTGAGGCAGAAAATAAGGGAAGCGAGCATTGTAGTCCGGTCGTGGTAACTGCAGACAATGAGGGAAGCGAGGTTTATCTTATTTATTTATACCCCTAAATTATTATCATCTTTTATTTTATTTATATATATTTAGACTATTCACATTGTGTGTTTGAAGCATGAGTCAAATGAAGATGATCAGGGTAGTGACCCACAAACGCCGCTTGTGGCCATGGCCGAAAAGGTTCCTGCATTGCCTAAAGAAACCCTCATTACTTGTATTTTGGAAGAAGTTAGTGCCTCAACATTGACATACATCTTCTTTTTACCAGTCATTCATATTTCCTAACATTTTCCTTGTTTTGCAGTTGGAGGATGTGGATCTGGTCTTAGGAGATTGTGAAGAATCCCTTCCTAAGGTTAAGTTTTACCACTATCTTTACATTAAAATTCGTGTGTGAATATCAATAGTGTTCCTGGTTTGTGCACATATCTAAACACATTATTTATTTCAATTTCGTAGGATGTGGCATTCTTGGATGCATCAGTCACTGCTTCAACGCCTTTTACAAATGTGCAATGGCAGGATGTTCTTGAAGAAGATGTTGCAATAACCAAAGCCCAACCTGCCATATATGAAAGGAAAAAAAGAAAGAGGTTCGTCTCAAAGTATCATAGCAGTCCCTTTATGGATCCGTGTGCTAAGCGGGTGAAGCCCAGTGAACTTGGAAGCGAAACTGAAATTCCGGAAGAAGATAAAGTCTTGAATGAGCTAAAGACTTGGGCAGAAGCCCCTGCTACTGAGGAACCGGTGTGTGTGATGTTAGACATGCCAATCTATATGTCTGTTGATAGAAAGTTTTTCTGTGACCTGATAGCCCCACAGGAATGGCTGAGCAGTATGGTAAGTTTATATGCATAAAGTAATTTTTAATAAGTAATTTTTACTAATTGCCTGTGTGCAACGTTTTTGGACATACATTTTAATCCGTGATGTTAACCATTTACTTGCAGCACATTGATGCCATAACCAACTTGTTGATGAGCCACAGAATTGAGGGTCAAAAATGTGAAATAATCTCCATGTTTTTCGTGGTAATCTCTAACATCCACATGTTATGGAGTGTAGGTGTCTCCCATTAGTATTAAAGCAATTTCTGTCTATCATTGCCTAAATGCAGAATCAATTGAAGAAGAAGCGATTTGACAAGCCAGAAGATTGGAGTGGAGACAGATTCTTGAAACGCATTGACTGGCGTGGGTTGTCAAAGGTGTGACTTGTTACTTATATTGTGTTGGCCACATACAATTAAATTCTTATTGCAATGCCACACATACATCTTCAACCCATACTTTATTCATTATCAGGTATTAATTCCGTTGAATGTTGAAAATAAACACTGGATATTGTGTGAGGTGAATTTGGAGGAGGTCGTGGTTAAAGTTTATGATTCCTTAAAGACTTCCCGAAGTGCGTGGTATGCATTTGATTTGTGTTCGAGGCTTCCTTATCTACTTCAAGAGATTCAACATGACCTCCCACGTCCCTTACACCTTAGACCATGGGAGGCAGTGGCTGTTCACGGCAGAGGCGGATCCAGGAATTTGAGATGCCCTGAGCTGAATAGAAATTATACTAGGTTTAAATATTAGAGAGGTGGGCTAAACGTGAAAAATGAAAAAAATTACACTAAAAAAATTGAAAATTTTCTAAGCTGCCCTTGGCTTGAGCCTACCATAGCCTGTACATAGATCCTCCCCTGGTTCACGGGGTTCCGCAACAAGGAATAGGGTAAAAACACCAAGATAAATAATCTTATGGTTATGATGTTTGATGACCGGTGGAATCGTGTATGTATATATGACTTTGTTCTTACTTTTTTGCAGGAGTGGAGTATGCGGTGTTATGGTTATGGCGTTTGCTGAACATTTGATGCATGACCTCCCCTTAACACCCGGGTGTGAGTACGACAACTGCCGCACCATACGAAACAACTTTGCAGTACGTCTATGGGGTTTCAGGAAGAAAGCGTAGAAGATTGAATAATGTATGCGGGCTGTCCACATGTATATTTTTGTCCTTGTAAATGATGGGAAAAAACACTTAAACCAAAGTACTTATTTTTTGTTGCAACAATTTGTCCATCATATGCCCGAAGTAGTTATATATATGCTTATGTTTTGATGTAATCCCTAAACCAAACATATGTATATCAACTTCTGGTTTTGCAGTATATGATGGTCGTATATTGGATGTGAACATTCCAATATTTAACTCTTTTTAGCACAGTGAAATTGTGGTTTTTGTATTGATTCGTACATTGTCACAATATGTAATTAATGGCGACATTTAGAATATATATATTGCAAAGTATGTGACAAAATGTCATTGAGTGACATGATACATAAATTGAGTCATTACATGCGTTGTAATTGCCCAAAGGCTAAAACAAAGAAAGGTTCAAGCTTAAGTCATCATTATACATCCATTCTAAATTGGTTGGTGCAACGTTTCTTGGTACTACCTCTTCAATGTTGCTTGGTCCGGCCACTTCCACTGATGATTTCCCAACTTGCTTTTTTGGCGGGCCCTGTTATACATTGCAATAGTACACAATTTGAGTCGATAAGAAATTTGAATGTTGTAGTGGTAAAATGTTTGTGGTCAGACACTTTCCTCCGGCCTCACAGACATTTATACTTTGGGTAATCCAGTGGTTCCAGTGGCATAATGTCTGTGGGAAGACATTTCATTCCAGACTCACAGACATTTATACTTTGGTTCAACCAGTGGTTCCAGTGGCTTAATGTCTGTGGGAAGACATTTCATTCCAGTCTCACAGACATTTATACTTTGGGTAATCCAGTGGTTCCAGTGGCATAATGTCTGTGGGAAGACATTTCATTCCAGACTCACAGACATTTATACTTTGGGTCAACCAGTGGTTCCAGTGGCTTAATGTCTGTGGGAAGACATTTCATTCCAGTCTCACAGACATTTATACTTTGGGTAATCCAGTGGTTCCAGTGGCTTAATGTCTGTGGGAAGACATTTCAATCCAGTCTCACAGACAAATTGAGCCGGTTTCATGCACAGACAAATGAATATAATGTACCTTAGCTTTTTTCTTTCCCTTTTCAATAGGCCCTTTTTGCCTATTCTTTCTCGGAGCGCCTTTACGTTTTGTCCTCTTTGGATCTTCAATAGGAACAATTGTTTGTCCGTTCACGCCTACGACTTGGATTGGCGGGGTGTCCGTTAATTGAGTCATTACTCCACAAATTGACGAACGACCATTTGACATGTTGCATTTTTGTAATTCACCTTCAACCCATGTGGAGACGCGTTCATAATGTTCATCATCATCAGCCACACTATTTGCAAGTCTTTCAAAGGTGGTGCATAACTTGTCAAACCGTTGTTGCTCTTTAGTCGTAATCCAACCATCATAGTTAATTTTTACTCTTGTATATCCTCTTTTGATATCTCTTCTCCACCTTTGCATGATGTAACACTCTGGTAGGGCATGAACTCCGTTACGCACAAGGACTGTGATGATGTGATTACAAACAATCCCTCTAAACTCAAATAAGTGGCACGTGCACATGGCTTTAGAATTAGGGATAGAATTATCGTACTCAACCACAACATGGACTGTTTTGAAAAAAACCCCATTCTCCATTTTGTCTTCACGGATATTGTAATGTATACCATCCTCACACCCTAACAGGTCACAATGCAACTTCCCGGCCATTTGAGCTCGAAACTCCTTGAACTTTGCAAGTGTGTACATTTGTTGCAACTCATGTTCCATGGCATATATACTCACACAAGGCAACATTTTGGTGAGACACTTAGCATCCTCTTGGAACTCTTTCTCTACTTTGCATTTCAACGCACGTCCGTATTGATCAACAAATTCCTTTAGACTTGTTTTAGAATGAACAAAATCGTCAAAAAAGGCGTTAATGCTCTCACTCCGTTGGGTCGTTGACATCCCTGCCCAAAAAGTTGGCCTCAAGTAGCATGGCACCCACCGATGTCTTTCATTGTAAAGCACATGTAGCCATTCGTGGTCATTAAGATGAAACCTACACATTACAAAACATAAATGTTACAATAGTTGTAATATTGAACATAATTTGTACAAAACAAATGCTTACCTTTGCAACATAGAACTCCATGCGAACTCAAATTGTGCACCCGTTTGGGAGTCATAAACAGCATCATGTAAACAAGCACTAACTTCATCTTTATCAGTCAACCCTCCCAACTTCTCTGGCACCTTCTTCATTATATGCCATAGACACCACCTATGTCTTGTATTTGGGAACACAATTTGAATGGCATTTTGCATTGCCCTATCTTGATCGGTAATAATTCCACTAGGACAACAACCATCCATACACTCAAGCCACTTTGTAAACAACCACACAAATGTGTCGGTGTCCTCATTTGAAATTAAGCCACAACCAAACAAGATGGATTGCCCATGGTGGTTTACTCCTACAAAAGGTGCAAATGGCATGTCGTACTTATTGGTGAGATAAGTTGTATCGAAAGTTATCACATCTCCAAAATCTCTGTAAGCATACCGACATCGCTTGTCCGCCCAAAATACATTGCGAAGGCGAGATTCTTCATCTACATCAAGGGCAAAGAAAAAACCGGGGCACTCCGCTTGCATTTTGTAAAAGAAACTTTGAATTGCAATGGCATCACCATTTCCTAAACGCAAGCGGCGAAACTTGTCAACGTAGTTCCTACAATCCTTTTCAATGAACGGTAAATTCTCATAACCGCCGGCTTCTACTACGGCAGAGGTGTAGGTTTTGTGAAGAGGAATTCCGGCAACCGCATTTATTGCAATTTTTCTCTTTGCGCTCATAGTCAATCTCCTATTGCAACGAAAAGCTCTAGTTTTGGTAGGACTCATAGGGTGGTTATGCTGTTCATGCACTTTCGAAATAACCCATGACCCGGCATAGTCATACATTACTTTGATCCGGGCTTTGCAACCCATTGCACTAGTAGCTGCAGGCATCAAACAATTTGTTGACTTTGAAACTCTATTTCCAGCACGACCACATTCAATTAACATTCCTGTTACGTTTCCTTCTTTGTCTTTCGTTGAGCTCCTAATCCTAATGGGAAAACCTATACGTTTGGCGTAATTCTTATAATGATCATAGGCTTCATCTTTTCCCGCAAACAACATCCCAACTTCTACATGGACGTCTGGTGTACCACCATCTACATTAGTGTTATCCGGGTATGAGAGAACACATATATAAAAATTGATTATTAAAAATATAAACGTCTGTGGGCAGGCAATAGCAAAACACATTTACTTTATTTCATCTGTGTGCACAAGCAATAGAATATCAACATTTACTACATCAAAATACAATACGAATACAACACTTTTACTTCAAAATCATGGAGTGCCATTAATGAATGTTAGAGTATACAAATACAATGTCATTCAGTTCTACATGCACTGAAAACACGAAATGCCTGTCCTCACAGACATTACGTTCCACGTACCTTCTTCATCATCAACCTCCAGAATCTGTTTTTCCTCTCCGTCGCCGACGTCTTTCGTACTGGGCTCACCTTCTTGTGTCGCCGGAGGTTCAGACACGGAGCCGCCTTCGTCTACTTTAGCTCCCATAAAATCGTCCATGTCATAACTACTGATGAAGGCCATCTCCTCAAGAGTATAATCCATTCCTCAAGTCTAAGTATACTTCCTCCGTCGAGATGTGAAGAGAACAGGAGGAAGAAAGCTTCAGTGAACAGTTGTTTTGCTGCGTTTGTTTGCGTGCGAAAATAAGCAACGGGAAGGGGGAGTGGGAGGGAAAGAAAGAGAGGAGAGAAGGTGGGGGTAAATGGAATGGTAATTTTTGGGGGGTTTTTATATGATGTACAATATGTGTACATCTTGTGTACCCCAAGACAAATTGTTAAAATAAATGTAGACCTGTTTGTTTATAGAGCTGAAATGAGCTTGAACTGGAATATATTCAGCCCACCATTTCTAGACTTCCTTTTCGCATCACGCCCCTCCTCCATTTTACGTCATCCTCTCTCCTCCCGTCTCTTCCTTATACGAATGCAAAGGTCTGCTATGCTTGGATTTCTTCCCCAATTGAACGAAAAGATAGAGCAATCAAGGTACGTATTTTGTACTTTAGACCCATTCTCCTATTCCGTATAATATTCCCTGCCCAACTGCAACACAAAACAGGGAAAAGAAAGAAAGTAATAATGCAAAGAATGAAAACCGAAGTATGATAAGAAGAGAGCATTTGCAACCGCTTAAAAAAAACACATTCTCAACTTTTGGCTTAAAAAAGCACTTATTTACTAAACATTACCAATTTTTACTTTTTCTCAGCTTGCGTGTGAAAAGTGGTTTTCCTTTTCTATTACACAAAAAGCACTTATTTTATCAAACACTACCCACTTTTACTTTTCAAAATCATTTTTTTCTCAAACACTATCAACTTTTACTATTAATCACTTTTTCCTTACATCTCCAAAAGTGTTTTTTTAAGCTGAAGCAGTTGCAAACACTCCCGTAGTATTATACTCCGTATTATTTACATGTATAAAAATTGATGAGAAATATTACAAACACGCGCATTCATATGTATATATATTATGCTATGTATATATGAATCACTATAATAAATATTTTATTCTTTTAATATATCATATGCCCTTTAGTGTAATTTTATAATATTCAAACACTTTTTCAACTCTTTTTGCCAAACAGGTTTACTCCATTCTGATACCAATTCAGATTCAGCACTTCAATGTTCAGCTCCAGACAATAGTCTCTGATTCAGACAATAGACATTAATTCAGGCATTAGTCTCCAGCTCCAGCTCGTTGTACCAAACATAGCCTTAGTTGTACAAGATTTATTTGATTTTCTATCTAAAGTTTCAAATTGTCTTAGTTGCTATATTTCATTGCCTTTTATATTTCATTTTTTTTTGAAGCCAAACTATGGATTTGTGTTAAATTTGCGTTAAAACATCTCCCAACCCCAACCAGCCCTGAATCACTTGATTTAGAGAAAAGAGGAGCAAACCTTCTATATCAACTACGGAAGCAGCAACAGACACGAGAAAGTTTCCTTAATAATTCCTTATCTGATTTGACTCTGTTTCTGTCTTTCCAATTATTATGAGTTGTGGCTTTCCTGGATAAGTTCTTGAAAATTTGATTTGATTACTCAATTATTATGTGAAAATTTTTCTCAATTATTATGTTATTTTTTTCAAAACTATTTTTAAGCTTCATTTTCTGCTTCATTTTCTTGAAGAATTGATACACATGTTTCATTAATTACAAATTTGTGAATCACCAAATCTTTGTTTAGATTTATTAACTTTTTTTTCAACCAGAGTGCGATCAAAGCTCAATTTACATTATCCCAAATAATTATTCGGTCAATTTTGGAGGGCTCAGGGATAGAGTGTCATCATTTTTTAGTAACACAATGATTATCATTTATCAACAAGAGAGAGGCACAATTTTTGGAGAGGGTTGTTTTCTCTCGTCATTTGGTTTTCATCTATGGACAACTAACTTTATATGACGTCTCAATAGTAACTTCCCCGCCTGGATTGAAGTTTATTATATGTGATGATGACAGAAAATCAGCAAAGAATACTTTAAATGTTATTTTACAAGGAAGTATGTAATAATTTTTAATTTTCTATCTTCATTTAGATTTGTTGAAAACACTATATGCGTTATTCTATCTTTATCACAACATTTTTATATATTTACAAATAGTTTGTTCCTTGAACGGTAAATTCCTTACTCTCCTTTATTTGGATCCCTATATTTAGGCCTTGAAATCCTAATGTGCCATAGTTGTGCAGTTCAATGATTTTAAATTCTTGATTCCTACATGCTTCGTTACATGTCTAACAATGTATTTTAATCAATTAAATGAGTAGTACCCTAATGCAAAGATGACGTTGTGCCCCAAGCCCTACATCCTATTTCACTTTATTTTTCATGTTCCTATTTGAAATCAATTGTAATTTCCACTGAATTTGTCAATTCTTGGATCTATTCTGCCTCTAAACAATTTTTTTTCATGTTACTTTTTTTATATTTCTCTCTTATCCAAGTACACAAATATTGGACCATTTTCACGGAGGAGTTACATTTTGCTTAATATTACATATCAACATGCGATGGTTCAAAACATAGTTTAAGCTTGCATGGCTAAACGGTAGAACTGATAAGTTAGGAAGACGTAGCATTTCACCACCCCTAACGCAGTTGGGTTAAAGTGATGATTATGATTAGGAGTTATTTCTGGCATGTTCTTTTAATGACTTCAATCACACATTTTTTTTTAACCTAAAAATTGTCCCCTGGCAAGTGGAAAATGAGCATTATAGTGATACGTTCCTTTTGAATTTTGAAACTGCCTATAACAACTATCTTCTCAACACACAATTTGCATCTTTACATGTCATTCCTTGCCATCATTAAGAACTGAGTCCTACTCCAATATTGATAACATTATGATTTTCTCCATTCAAAATAAGGCATTTAGTTAAAAAAAATGATTAAAAATGTACTTAAAGCTCATCTTTTCTAGGAATGGATTTATTCTATTTGAAGAATCGTTTAATATGTTAGTCTTAATTAATTATTTCAATAAGAACCTAATTTTTCATCTTAATTTGTAACAGGAAGGTTTAATCTCGACAGGAAAAGTAAAATTCATATGTGTTCAATTTGTTGTGTGGTTCGGGTCAAAATAGAGAAAACTAATGAAACACTTGGGCTGCGGCAAATATCTATTATGACTTCAACTCTGAAAGATATTATACAGGGACACTCCAGATGAGGTCTGAGACTAAGGCTCCTTTTGGCAGCCATAGCTGGTCTGTTTTGCTTATTTTGTTAGTTTATCTAGGCAGATGTGTGTTTCATTAACAAATTGAAAAAAATTGCCATGTTTAAAGCCTTATAATGCCAAACTTGAGAGAAATTTACTCCTATTCAGGGAAAAAAAGACATGATACTCCTATTTTGGAATTTCAAAACGTTTTTACTCCTATTTAGGGAATGCTCTCTTTCATCAATCCAGATTTACTGGGCTCTATTTTAGATAAGTTTCAGTCCTAATAATGTTATGTTTGGTTAATAAAAATTAAAAGTTGTTCGACTGGCACCCACATGTTGTTCCTAATTAGTCCCTTATGGATATTAATTTTCAAGTTACTCCATGTTTTTAAACTTTTCTTACTAATATGTAAGAAAAGTTTGTCACATAATTCTCATTGTCTCACTGACTTAACTTTGGTCTAAAATTCAGAAAAATGCATCACTGACTATTAGCAATACTAAATTACTAATAGTAATTCTTTTGTGTGTGTTTGATTACAGTGATGTGCAGGGATTGATTTCTTCCTGTTGATTTCCTTTATTGCTTTTTTTTATAGGATTGGCAAGTTCGAAATGGTATTTTTTATACAAATGAGAGGAAGACTGCTTAGAGCATATATAATGCTTTTCTTTCAATGGAGTAAAGGGGTGATATATCAGACAATTTTGAAGGTGAATAAAATGTTATCTCCAATGCCCTCCTTCAATAGCTCTGCTCAGTTGATGTAGGATCAATACTTTCAAACCCACTGTTAGATTTGAGAAAGCATGTTAAACAGATAGTGTCATAAATATTCAGTAACTGTTTCTGCTTTTCAAGCTTAAGAGACAGCGGTACAAAAGATTAAACAAGTTTCACTAGCCCTGCATGTTTTTTTACTCATGGGGGCGTCTGGGGGATGGGGGCTGGTGTTAATAATGCTAACAATACTAATGTATTAGCATAATTTGTTGAGTTTAAGGTACATTTCCATTTTCAGTTTTTCAAAGTTCGATTTCAAAAACCAAATAAAAAGGTTGGTTGAATACCCTCTATCCTGCACCATGCTATACATGAGATAAAAAGCTACATTAAAAGGTGAACTGTTGTGGGCTAAAAAGCCTTTAGTTTGTCATCACATGATCAAACTCTCTCTTGCAGGTGATCCAGATATAATTGGTCACATTGATCAGGTATTATACTACTCTTCACATTTATATAATTTGTAGCTCCTATTATAGTTCTAAAAGATTTAGAACAATGCATATTCATTGTTAGTGTGTTAGACATACTGTTCGGTGAACTTAAACGTGCACAATATTCATTATCACAATATACTGAGTTTCTTTTGTTTATTTAAGGCATTGTGATAAGTTTGGTTTCTTTTTATTATTAGAATATTGCTTTATATGCAGCCCGCAAATGAAATTAAGATATTTACCTTTTGTTCTAGATCTTTTGAAGTTTTAATTGTATACAAAATATGATGTACATGAGTATCATTACGGTATGCAATTAATATAATACAATTAAGAATTGTTCTAAAATATATGGGTTAGTGTCATTAGAGGCAATAAATATTATACTTTGTAGTATTATAGTGAAAGTGTGGGTCAGGCTATTCACATATTTAAACTGTATTCTACTGTTTATATAGATATAGTTCACATTTATTTTAATCTCTTTGTAATATTGTTTATATTAGGCACAAACTTAAATCTATTTCAAATTTATTTTCAGGTCGATTGACTGTTTTTCTATGCTAGGGCTGTTAGCTCTCTTGAATGACAGGTTTCCAAATCCCATTTATGTCAAGGTGTACTACCTGTATGACACCCAGATGGTGGGATTAGAAAGTTCTCATTCTAGGTATTTGCTAGATCCTCTAGAAAGAAATGTGCTTTTTTGAACAAATGCATAATAATAGTTCAACGTTTACTCAAAAGAAACTTATTAGTTATTCTTTCATGTCACAAAAATCTATGTTCCAGGTTGCACAGTAGTGTTCTTGCAAGAATTTGTCAAATAATCGACATATTTGTTCAAATGCCATTTTTTCAGTATAAAAAGAGGTTTCTTAATTACTTTACTAATATTCATTTGATACCACATGATTGATACCAATTATGTTATTTAATTCATTCTCTTTTAGTCAAGTTGTTTTTTCCTAAATAGTAATCCTCAAGTTTGACTATTTAGGTCCAATTTCTAGACGTTTAATTAAACTTTTACATAT